ACCCACGAAGTGCTGATATTTTAATTATGTCGACACTTGTTTATCGTGTTGTACCACAGATTCATGTCAATATGGATCCATCCATGTTATGTTGCGTAACTAGGACAAGCTTTGGCGCTAGATCGATGTTCAAGGATCGTGTTTTGTTATTCTTCTATTAGCCATGCAATGCTAGTTCGGTGGCTCTATATTGCCAGTATAATGGTCAATCGTGTGGTTGCAGTTTCTATTCAAAACATTCCTTCCTAACCTTTCTAGTCGGTTTGTCTTGTACATTCTGTATTCTTTATTGGCCGCAATGAAATCTGGCTCAAATAATTTAAACCGAAATTAAACCAGCATCTACCTTTAATTTTTCTTTCTGGCTACAGAGGGGTAGTATGGTCTTTTAACAATATTAAGAAATTTCTAATAAAACCTATTCGTCTGATTTGTTAAAAGTTTAGGTCTAAATTGGAATTGTGATATTTCAACTTGATTTAATTGGAATTCTTCCTTGTAATAAAAGCTCTCCCATAAGTGGAATGTGTATTCAATCTCACTTATGCTCGTCAGGTTTGTTCTCCTAATTCAAGGGGGAAAAAAATCAAATCAGAACAAGTTTTCTCTAACTTATTTGTCCATGAATTCATATTTATCTACCAATACCATATTTTTAATGATGTTTTTATATAATGAATAAATTGGATTTAATTCATTGAGAAACCAGCATAATATCTCACATGATTTTGAAAACTGTTTTAAAAATTTAATTTTCTCATATATTGTATATGAGTGTACTACATCATTTTTCTTTTTGCTGTATGCATTTCTTTTTAAATACATAGACTATATTCAGTTTGTAAGTACAGAGGATGCAAGCTGTACTATTTACTGCTTCGCAAGTTCCGTTGGACGTTACCTTAAAAAAATCATGTTAAGTAGTTGTGAGCTTATGAGCTTTTCTTTCTAGAAATTCTAGTGGCTGGTGTGTCACAATGTTTTATTTGATTCTTATAGCTATTGCTCTTTGGAATCTGATATTTGGCACATTATGAATCTGGAAAAGGGCAGACTGAAGTCTCAAATTCTCTTTATTGAATGGTTTGATGAAGCATATATATAATCTTTTCTAATGTTCCTTACTGTTCGTTCATTGATTCACTCCTGTTCAGTTTGTTTATCTGATGGCTTCACTCTATAGTTCATGCATTTAACTAAGTGTTCTTTTGTATAGTTCATTTGAATTTAATTAACTTGCAGAGTTGGCATCTCTCCCACTCTTGTGTAGAAATGTTGGTTTTGGATTGGCTATAGAAATATATATTCAAATACCAACGAGAGTTGAGTCTAGTAGAAGAGACTAATCCCTTACTATGTAACAAACTTGAATCCTTGCTCAGTAGGAAGATATCTGTGCTTAGCGGAAGAAAAAAAGAAACATTCAAATAGTTTGAAAGAATTTTCTTTTTTCATATAGCTATCTGACTGGATCATATTTGAGGATTGTTAAGCCCAATTGGGAGTAGTCTTGAAAGTGTTTTCTTACGTTCGCATGGACTCAAACTTGAAACCTTGTGTTTAAACACTCAAAACCCATTTCATTATGGTCAATGCCTGTTTGGCTCGTTTGTAAGAGGGATACTTTCGATATGTTCTTTTATTTTCATTTTCAATTTTATGAACTAAAGTCATGAATTGTGAAGCACAGTGTAAATAGGAGCTGGTCATGGCCAGTTTGGTGGATGGTTTTAATGGAAGACAATGAAAATTTTACTTTCTGCTCTTCAATTTTCTTGAGATTTGCAAGATTGTACATAAAAGATGCTTAAAATAGCAGCTTAAAGAATTGGATATTTTCCCTATATACCCTGTAAAAACTCGTCTTTTAAAGACTATAGGGATTGGAAAAAACTAAGTTTCACAATGGGCATTCATACATATAATGATCAAAATAGAAGTGTTTCAGGGTCGTGTTCTTGAATTTTTGTTGCCAATGGATACAAGGCTTTCCACATAATTAAAAATACCAATAACCTGGCCATATCTGCCAGCAATAGGAAACTTGTGGAGTTTATTATTTGAGATCGAAAAGATATATACCAAATTCTTCTTGATACACGCCACTTATAGAAACAGCTTCATTCCTCCAAATAGGATACAAGGGGGAGGAAGCAGCCCTGCCAATAAACTTGATAAACTTGGTACCATTCCATCTCTGCCCAGATCCTCCACCTGATGTAGCCTCCTCCTCCTCCTCCGTTATCCACAATTTAGTGTTAGAAAGCAAAGCAAGTTTGTTCTCATACGTGGTGATAGGCCCTTGGTTCACAGGGATTGGGATCAACCTAAACACTTCCTTTGCAGTGTCAAATGAAAGTATGAGTCTATTATCATTCCCTCCGTTGATGTTGCTGTAGGCAAACTAATAAATAGCTTTGTTAGTGGCAGTAAATGAGTATCCAATTCTAGTATGACCTAAGTTGCCAAGTTCTACTTTCTTCCATGACTTTGTGGAAAACGAATACACCTCTACACGATGCTCTGGTGAATACAGAAGTTCATAAATTCTCACTATCTTGTAATTATTTACAACTATGTTAAACCCGAAGCCTTCACGGTAGAAACCACCACCATTAAAGTTATTGATAACCTTGGGTACGCGATGGACCTCTCTGGTGGCTGGATTCCACAAGATATGGTGTTAAAAGTCTTGTGTATAGTTTTAGTTGTTTATTTTTTTGGGTTTTAGTGGTTTTGGGCCTCAGCCCGTTAGGCCCATTTGATCTGTATATATGGATCCTCTCAGGTCCAGACTTCAGTTGTACAGTTCTTTCACACAATGGAATAATACATGATTTTTCCAGTTTATCCGCTGCTATTGCGTCTTCATAAGGGAATCAATTATTTCGACTTCAAGAAGACAGACGAGGCCATAGCTGGAACCAATGATGCCGACCTGAACAAAGGGAATAACATGGATGGAAGGTGCGTTCGGAGGAATAAGGGTTTTCTTGTCGGAATATTCCAGCAGACCAAACTGCAAATCGTAGGTGTCATGACGCCATTGGAGGAGAAGAGAAGGGCCACGATGATGAATTGAGTGGTGGAGGTGTTGTTTGATGAAGAGCTGGGTCTTGAAGAGATCGTTCCAACCTTTGCATACACATCGTAATCGGAGTAGAGATTTCACAGGAAGCCTTTTGAGAATGTTGACCATGATGTCGTGTGGAAGAAAGAATCCGCCTTCTTTCACTGTACTTGCCATCAGAAACTTCGAATATGAATTCGAAAAAGAGAGCGTCCTGGGGTTCTAGAGGTTGTACAAGGACACCATGAATATACCAAGTGATCTCAATATATATGTGCATATACAGTACCTCCGGTCTTATTTCATAAAATCCTGATTATATATTACAAACAAGATTTTATAATTAGAATTAGAGGAGTTAGTATATTATAATTATTGAATGAAGGAAAATCAAAAGAGAATCTTTGTTTTTTAACTTGTAAATCAGAAAGAGATATATCTATATCTTTTAGGTTGTTTAATCATAATCAACTATTTTGAATATATATGTATGTATGATTATTACTTACTAAATCGGCATACATATATAATAAATTTCATTTCATATAGATATTAAAATTAAATTGAATACCTTTTATCCTTCAAATTTCTTTTGATATTATGTTCTAGCACAATCATGATTATTATAGCATTGTTCAAATACTCAAGACAATCCCCTGCGAACATTTATATCCCAGTCTTGTGGTGCTTACAAATTTGCCAACTACAAAAATATATTTTTATACAAATTAAAAAAAAATATCATTCTAGTACAATCATAATTATTCTTTTCTTGAGGTTAGCATCATCAAATCGAATGGCTAGCAAAAAAAATATAAAATCAAATTATGAAGCTAATGGCATTGTACGTAATAGAAGCTCTCGCAGTATAAATTCAATTTCTCTTATACTCATCAAGCAAGTTCTTCTAATTCAAGGGGAAAAAAATCAAATTGGACAACATATTCTCTAACATATTTGTCCATGAATTCATATTTTAGATCTTTTTTTTTTGGGGATAAAGTTTTAAATTCTTTGTATATCTCGCAAAAATAAAGTGTACTTCTATAAAAGTTTGATTTCAGAAAAATTATCCTAGAAATGCTTGCTCACCATATTTTTAATGATTTTTTATATAATGAATAAATTGGATTTAATTCATTGACAAACTAGCGTAATATCTTACATGATTTTGAAAACTATTTTAAAAATTTAATTATCTCATATATTTTATACCAATGCAGTGCATCTTTTTTTTTTTTTTTGCTGTATCACTTTTCAAATACATAGACTACTACATTCATTTTGTAAGTGTAGGCGGTACCATTTACTGCCTAGAAAGTTCCTTTGGACGTTACCTTAAAAACCCATGTTAAGTTGTTAGCTTATGAGCGTTGCCTAGAAATTCTGGTAACTGGTGTGTCACAATGTTTCGCTGATTTTTGTAGCTTCTGATTTCTAATGCTCTTTGGAATCTGGATATTTGGCACATTATGAGTCTGAAAAAGGGCTGATTCAAGTCTCAAATTCTCTTTGTTGAATTGTTTGATGAAGCATATTATCTTTTCTAATGTTCCTTACTTTTCATTCATTAATTCACTCATGTATTTAACCAAGTCTTCTTTTGTATAGTTCATTTGAATTTAACTTGCAAAGTTGGCATCTCTCCCACACTTCTGTAGATATCTTGGCTTTGGATTGGCTACAGAAATAGACATTCGGATACCATGCATTCCCACGGACTCGAATTTAAAACCTCATGTTTAAGCACTCAAAACCCCTTCCATTATGATCAACGTTTGTTGATTAGTTTGTAAGAGGGATATCTTCTATGTTCTGAATAGTTACCAGAATGCTTAATTTTTTTTCCATTTTCAATTTTACGAACTAAAATCATGAATTGTGAAGAACAGTGTAAATAGGAGCTGGTCATGGCCAGTTTGGTGGATGGTTTTAATGGAAGACAATGAACATTTTACTTTCTGCGCTTCAATTTTCTTGAGATTTGCAAGATTGTACATGAAAGATGCTTAAAATAGCAGCTAAAAGTATTGGAAGTTTTCCCTATATACCCTGTAAAAACTTGTCTTTTAAAAGACTATAGGGACTCCAAAAAACCAAGAAGTTTCACAATGAGCATTCATACATATCTACCCAAGATTTTTTGGTGTGCTTTTCCCCCAGGATTCTGATAAAGAGTTCCTGAATACAAATGGCCTTCCTTTTTCAAAGGGGTGATTGATTGTGTTGAAGAAATGGTCATTTAATAAGAATCCAAAGGTGCTGATTCAGCCGGCACCTTGTCTTGCTGGCGCAACCTCCTAAGTTCACCTTCAAGTGCCATTTTTGCAGAATCTGCCATCTCTGCATTCTTTAGAGCCATCTCTGTTGCTGCTTTTATTTCCTCAATTGCCTTCAGATTGGCTTCCAACTTCTTGTCTGCTTCACTTTGTCTTGCCTTGATTGCCACAACCTGAGTTATTGCAGCCAGCTCTGCCTTCTCCACAAGATCAGCACATTCCTTCACTTTCCCTGTCACTGACTCAAACTTATCAACAGATAGTTTGATCTTACCATGATCTTCTGAGTTTGTTACATCACTAACTTGATTCTTGTTGTTTCCTTGCATCTCAGACAAGATCTTCATCTCCTCAAGGGCTCTTTGCTCTGCTGCTTTCACTTCTTCGGCCTCTTTTAGCACAATCTCCAGCTTTGTTTCCAGTTCTTGAGCCAAAGCTCGCGCTTTCTCGGCTTCTTGCTTCAGATCGTGTGTTCTCTGGTTCATCTCTTCTGCATCCCTTTTTGCAGTTTCTGTTTCTTCTGTTAGCTTCTCTATTTTCATGCTTTGTTCATGAAATAATTTAGAAGCTTTTTCCAACTCCTCTATATTTGTTTCTCCCTTGCTCTTTTGAAGTTCATCTTTAATGTAACTGGCAAGAGCTTCTGATTTTTGTTCCTTGTCTTTCAAGATTCTTTGCTCAGTCTTCACATTTTCTAATTCATCCTTTAACAAAGCCACTAGGTTTCTCAGAGAGCTTTCTTCTTCAGCAACTTCTCCTAGTGTCTTTGTGGCTTCTTTGAGTTCTGAAGTTATAGCTTTTGCAGCTTCCATATCAGAAGCATGTTCCTTCTTCATCTGTTCTTGCAAAACTTCAATCTCTGCACTTGTTTCAGCAAGTTTAGCCTCAAGATCTTCTGTATTCAATTCTGGGTCATATTCCTTCATCAAAGATTCCATCTTTGCCTCTGCTTCTTCCTTACCATTCTTGTAAGAATCATATTGAGCTTCTCTCTCTGCCATGGCCTTTGCTTGTTCCTCTTGAGTCTGCAGAGATGCAAGCTTTAACTCCTCAACAGATGTTTTCATGGCTGCAATCTCATTCGAGAGCTCGCTGATCCTTTCTGAGTTCAACTTGGCTGAACGTTGAGCTTCTCCGGCTGTCTGAAACGCCGCCAGCTTCGCCTCTAAAGCCGCATCAAAATCTTGCCTGATCTTGGTCAGTTCTTGCTTGGCAGCATCAAGTTCTTTCACAGTGGTTGTGTATTCTTTTCTTGCATGCTCGAGTTCTAGCTTCCAAGCTTCAAAGCCCACTTCTTTCTGGGACTTGGCCCTTTCAAGCTGCTTGGCCTGATTCTTCACAGCTTCTGCAGCCTCCATGGCGGCTTCCTTGGATTCTCTAACATTTGTCAGCTTCGTTGTGAGATCTTGAAGCGTCACTTTTGCCTTCTCAAGCTCAGCAAGCGCTTTAGATTTTGTGGTCTCAGCACTCTCCAGCTGCTTCTTTATCTTGTTCAGTTCTCTCTGTGCCAACAGAAGCTGTGTCTCCTTTTCTAGTACATTCTGCAAATCATACAAAAGATGCTTTCAACAGCATTATTTTTTGCAAATGTGTCCTTTGAAAGGCCATGCAAAACAAGATTTCCTCGTATTGGCTTGAGAAATAAAAACCAATACCACGTCTCAAAGAATGCTACCACAAAGTTTGAAATGTGACATCATGGTATGAGAGAGTTTTAACGTTAAAATGTGTGGTTGATGATGAACATGGTTATGTTTCATAGAGGTTTTGATGCTTACCTCGGATGATCTTCTCCTGACAGAACGTTTTTCCTTGGAAACAGCAACTTCACCGAATAAACTGACAGCAGCTTTCACAGATTGAAATGGCGCCCTTGTGTCGATCTCTCCAACCTCTCCCCTCGGAGAACTCATGTCCTTCTGTGAATCCATTTTCCTGAAGTTTACCATTTTCTCTGCTTCTTCTTCTCCTCCTGAACACGATGATCTTTCTCTGCGTTACCCAAAAACGAAAGCAAAAAAAAAAACTGTCGCAAATGAGCCATGAAACACATAATACTATGAACAAAGGGCCGATCATCATCAAAATGATGACTAATTACCTTAAAGTTTGATGTTTCTGGAGAAAATGATGATGATGATTGAAGTGCAAGAAGCCAGATGATGAATTTTTTAAGGGAGGAAGATGGTTGGACCTTGAAAGAAACCCAGACAGAAAACACGCAGGTTTCTTTTATGTCCAACGTTTGGATTATGAGCGTGAGAGGCTTTAGGCCTTTGAAAAAAAGGAAGTCTCCAAAATATGACTGGTTTGTGAATCGGCTTTGCTATTTTAGCTTACGAGAACGCAGGTTTGTGGTGTGATTATAACAGTAAATGTTAACCGTACAGGGTAGCAAGATTATAGAAGATAAGAGAAAATAAGACATTATTTTCTCTCTCTGTAATTGAGAAATTCATGGAGGTATTTGTGGAGATGAAGGCAGATCTTTAACATGCCACGCTGGACATTTCATGGTGAAATTGGTTCAAAAATTTATATTATAGGCATGCTTGGCCTATAAAAGGAAAATATTTACTTTACTCTCAAACTAATATTATTATCGGGTTAATATGATTACGATTCGTATTTTGAGAAACATTATTTTTGTTTAAAAATTTAGACGAAGTCATGAATTTTTTTGTAAAGAAAAAAATTCAAATGATCATGATAAAATATAAATGGTAATACTATTGTGGGCTCAATATTTTAAGAGGATGAAAATAAACTTATACAAAAGATAAATATATCACTTTTAATTTTTAATAATAATAACTTAATGTGACATTTTTAAAGTGAGATTCTTGATTATTAATATCAGTGTCACTTTCGATATAAAATCCCTTTTTATAACATTAATAAAGAATATTAAATAAAGCTTGTACATTTACAGTCGTTGTTTTCACTTTTCAATTTGATGAAGTATAATTAATATACAACAATAAAAGATTTTATGTAACTTTGTTTTTGAAAAAAAATGAGATCTAATTATCTTACAGATATACTCCCTCAAAAAAAAAAAATAGTTCTAGTAATTAGATCTTTTGATATGTGGAAATATATACTACTTCTAATTTATTATTGTATATTTTCAGTTTTATCGTCATCCTCCTTTGGCTTCTCGTTTCATTTGCCTCTGATTATTATAATTTAAACTTGCAAATTTCACAAACAAATGTTTGTTTTATAAGAGAAGTCTCATTCTCATTCAATCACATTCACTAACCAATAATATCCCTACATCCTTAGAAGATAAATAAATAAATACAACACAATGCAACATGTAAATCAAAAGTATAGCCATTCTTTCTTCAACAGAATTACAATGCATTAATTATTCTCCAACCATCCTCATAATGAAGAAAGTCCAACCTTGGAAACTGGCCTGCAAAATGCAAAAAACTCCATAAGCTTTTCACATTTATTTGCAAAAGGAAAAGAGCATTAACATTTACTTAATTCCGAATTGCTAATAATCATTATACAAAATATCTAAACTGGTAATCATCTTTGCTTTCCTATAAAAGACTCAAATCTTTTCCCTCTCATTTGAGGTGTTTCATCGACAGCCAAAACCCACTTTAACTGTAAAGCTTTTCTATTAGGTAAATATTCATGAATAATATTACAATTTAACATAATCACTACACCAATAGAATTAAAAGAATTTCCCTTCTTCAGGACCTTATCTTAATATCTCTAATATCAACTCTGGAATTGAGTTGTCTTGCCAGATTTAAAAGGGGGGGAAAAAGGATTACATGTGCTCAAAGACGAGAGCAGACGCCCCTCCTCCTCCATTGCAGATAGCAGCAACCCCATACTTCCCCTTCTTTTGTCTCAGTACCTGCGTACATATGCTCAAATTTGAAAAATAATAATAACAACACTGTCCAAGGATAAGAGCTTTATTTCCAAATTCCATTTATGCTGCAGCTGTGAAGACCCAAAATTAGAGAATTCATAATAGCAGAAAGTTACTAATTAATTGTGAAAATGAGAGTTATAGACCATTAACTAAGAACTTTTAAATATAAAAGTATCATCAAGGACCATAGAAATACATTACTTTATGTGCTTCGTAAAATTACCACTCATATACCTTAAAATTACAACATGATCTTCAGCTATTATAGAACTGGTGTTTTTATGTATAGATAATAATAAATTTAAAACATCTTTTTAACATAAGGGATTATAGACGGTAATTTTTTTTTTTTTCAAATTACATGAATGGACAATTAGAAGTTCAACAAGTTACATAAGCTGCCGGTATAAAACACCAGCCTTATCATTCTCAGCTAGTTGAAGACACCATAACGGAGGTTGGTTGGTTGGTTGAACTATATATAGGAACTATCAATATTGCTCTGAGCAAACTTGGCTATAGCGCATTCATTGGCTTCCCTAACTGAAAGTTACTTCCCTGATCAATCAAATTTCTCCTTCATAATAGTTATCCTTCCTCTCGTTTCTGATCAGCACATTATATCCTCCGCACAATCTGTGAAAGTTTTAGTCCGCCCCCATCCCAACCGTTTACACATCATGATACCATAAGACCTCTGATTCCTCCATCAGTAATTCTAAGAAGCACCAATAGTAACTTATTTCTCTGGTCTTTTAGAGGAGTCTTAATTTTATTAAGGTCTTTAACTATCATTAATAAAACTTATGGTTCTCAAATGTTGTTTTTCCTTACTAATTAGTGAAGTATAGAAGAGGAGCAAATCGAGGTTAAGAATTACCCCTAACAGTGTTACTAAGATACGAGCTCCACTGCAGCCCAAGGGGTGTCCCAATGCTACAGCTCCACCATGCACGTTAACTTTCTCCTACGTTGAATTCAAAAGGCACAATCATCTATCAGATTTAAGCCAGTACCATATAAGGACGGGATAGAGAAAAAAAGAAGCAAGAAACAGCATATCAGCAGGCAAAAAAGATTTCATCCACCAAAAGAGCGGCAGTACCAACACTCACAGGATTAAGACCAAGAAGCTTTTGATTCGCAAGAACTACAACCTGCATAGAAAATGACAATGCAGTATGAGATGACTAAAATTTTCACTCATTTTATTTTGTAACAGTGTGATGATTATATGGGAATTAAGGTTTGTAATTTAGGGAATTGAGATAACATTTGGGATTTGATCAAATGCTTTTGGGCATAGGGTTCCATATCTAGTATCCTTGTAGGATGAGGACACCCATTCTTTTCAGATTTTATTTTGGCAGCTTATGAATAGGCATATCTAGTAAGTCATTGCCGATGGCCATTATTATAAAAACATTGAATTGATCTTGGAATTTTGAGGATTTATTTCCTTGTCTTTTACTCCCTTTCCTGTTCCAGTCAAGATTCGACAATACAGGTACAAAATCCTAAAATATGAGTAGAATGTATTCTTACAGAGAAGGCTTCGTTTATTTCATAATAATCAATTTGAGAAGCCTCCAAACCAGAATTTGATATGGCTTTTGGTATTGCGAGAGCCGGCGCAGTTGTGAATACCTCCGGTGCCTGCCAAGAGAACCTCACTTCAGCTTTGAGTTGTTCATTTTAATCAAGGCCAAGACAAGTTCCAATAACCAGTCATAGCACCTGAGCTGCATCTGCATATCCCTTTATCTTAGCTATTACTTGCAATCCAAGCTGAAGCACCTTCTCTCCGCTCACTAGCACTAATGCGGCAGCGCCATCACTGGTCAAGTCAATACATTAATTATCAATTAAAGAGCAAGCAGTTAAGAACTTTTATGATTACGATATCCTTAAATTACAGCATGGTGTACAATCAGCAGTCAAACTTCTTGCAATGAGGTAATGAGTTGTTCCCACAAAATTTACATGGGTATCAGTAGAAATCTGCATTGGAGCCAACCCATAAACCCGACTAGACTAATTACGCATAAGTTTTAGTCTATTACACTGAGGGCTGACACAGGCCATGTCACATGACAAGGGACCAGAATAACGATTGACTTCAGCTCTAGTTCTAGGCATAAACCTCACTGACCTAGTCAATAAGCAGGACTACTTCTGATATGCCAAGTATGCAGAGAGACGCATCATAAGGGAAGAGAAAGAGGACCTTATGCTAGAAGCATTGCCAGCAGTTACAGAACCCAGATCCTCCTTGAAGCTTGGCCTAAGCTTCTTTAGCTTTGCAGCATCAAACTAGAGACAATTAAACAGATTATGAGAGATATCAAGCAAAGTGCATAAATTCACATCGTATTCCAATTTGAAAGAATGTCATAAGGACCATGGATCAAGTAAATTCCAAATAAGGATTACCCTAAAGGCTTCTGTAGTTCAGAGCTAGCAAACTGTACTATTTATAAGTCATAAAAAGGGCAGTTCACCTCAAACTCCATGCAATGCAAGGGGAAACATGTTTACTTAGATGAAAATTTGTACGCCCTATCTATTTACCTTTCCCAAACATTCATCTTTATCAATAAAGGTGAAGGACTTCCCTCTTCCTGCAGAGACTTCAACCTGAAAGTGCAGATAGCGGCATCGAAACCACATCGAAACCATTGCATATTCTCAACAATGTAAAATGATTAGGAATTGGAAAATCAAACCGGAACTATCTCCCATGTAAAATGACCAGAATTTTGAGCAGAAATTGCTCTCCCGTAGCTTTCTATCGCATAAGAATCCTGAAAAGCAACACAGTGCGGTGGAATGGAACAGAAATATAAAACTTGGATTGCAAGACAAACAGATGTGAAAGTCGGGAGGACTAATGACATGTAAAATGGTGGTAAAACCAAAACAAAAAGGGACAACAACTGACAACGCCAAGCAACTAGATACCAACACAACAAGCAAAAAGGATGTTGATAGTAATTCAGGGCAAAACTAAATGACCTAGTGAAAATAATTAATAATATCGATAAAAAGAATGAGAGAATGAAATACATTAAAGAATTTTAAAATACAGTCCGCCAACGAGTAATACCTGCTCCTCTCTTGTTATGTCATGAAGATCAGCACATAGCTCAGCACAAACACCCATACCGAAGTCATTATAAACATCCCAAAGGCCATCCTTGATCATACCATCAACGATAGTATCATGCCCTACCCGAGATCCCTTCCTGTTTTAGACACAATATATACAGAACATGTTGAGATTATTAGCAACCAAACATGCAAACATGTTGAGATTATTAGCAACCAAACATGCAAACCAAGTCAAGATTTTCTGACGTGAGACTCAAGTTCCATACTTTGCTACTCGGTCCTAATATATACTTTTATTAACCAAATCTCCAAATTAACTTCTTGAAATACTACCAAGTGATTGATTAATTATAAAAGAAGCAAAATAAACATCAACCCAAAATAGCAGCAAAAATAATTCCTCCTGTTATCCCCAACATATTCTTTCAGCTCTCTAAAGCCAGAACTTTTTCCAAAGAGAAAATGTATCATTCTTTCAGTAATTTAAGAAAGAAAGGAAAACCTTGCTTGTACCATATACTTGGGTGCATTAGACATGCTTTCCATACCACCAACCACGACAACGTCATGAATGCCCGATTGTATTGTCAGCGCTGCAAGCATAGTAGCTGCAATGAAGAAAAAAATAAATAGAAACATGACTTCACCTCTCATTCACAACAATTCAAACTTAAATTAAAGTGAGATGATCTCTTAATATATAAAATAAAGCCTACCTTTTATACCTGCTGAACAAACTTTGTTAATAGTAGTGCAGATTACAGATGAAGGTATGCCCGCACCTAAGGCAGCCTGTCTGGCAGGGGCTTGCCCTAAATTTGCAGCGAGAACATTCCCAAAGAACACCTCTTGCACGAGTGATGGATCTACATTTGCTCTCTTGAGAGCAGCTGCAGTTTCAAACATGGAAACTAACATGAATCCATTGACCCACCAAACTTCAAGATACAAACAACATTATCCCGTACTAGTACAAATAGGAAGAGCTTTTATTGTTTCATTACGATGGAGTTTCTGATTGCTCGTTTTATTTCTATTTAGGTTGCTTTCTTTTTGGGTTAGACGTGTCCTCGCCATGTGAGGGTCTATGTTCAGCACATCTCCAAGTCGAAAGGATAACATTTTCTAAATGATGATAAAGCTGCACACTTATCGAACACAGGTGTCGACTGCCTGTTGTGGCAGTTCATGGTGATCACCAAACACAAATTTGTAGCTCAAATTATAGGGGGAAACATATTTTCCTGCTAAAATTTACTGAATTATACTCTCCCAGTGATGTGTTAAAAATAGAGTAAGTTCAGTAGTTTTACACTTAATTGCTATAGAACCAAGCTCCGTCGCTGAAATAGATGAAAGAGTGCCAAGGAAAGCACCGATTGGCGTCCGCGCGACACCAACAACACAGACATCTGTAATCAGATACACCCAGAAGACCCGAGCTCAGCAGAGGATGAATAATTAATAAAAAGACTTTAACTTGGGAAAACTATTGATATGAATTAGTTGTTTTTCTAATATGCAGTAGCTAACTACTTTAAGGGAATATACCAGCAAGCTAATTAAGTCCAAAAGATGTTGCTTATGAATTTATGTGATGATATGATATAGATAAATGATGATTCTGTCAAATCAAACCAAACCTCGTGGCTTTACAGAATCAGGGCCAGGAGACATTGAATCGTCGGGAAAGACCCTCAGATCAGAAAGGAGAAAGCTCTTGACAACAAAAGCATCAATGAATGATCATGATGTTAGAAGTGTGAGTAAAGACGAGGCTGGCAAAATTTGAGTACATGATAGAAAAAGGTAACTAAAGTAAGCTGATCAATAATCGAGAATAGCTACAATTGCCGACAAAACACAACTGGGGTCACGGTATTTCATAACTTCTTTTTTTGCTTTCTTCTTTCCTTACTCGGTCTTTACCTACAATATCCTGCTGGAGTTAGGATCCAAGTATACCTTTTACAGATAAGATTCAAGCATTGCATCACCGTCGTGGGACTACCTCCTTCCCCTAACGTCAACCTTTGTTGATAATTCCTTATTTTCTTTTCTTTTTTTTGGGTGGTAATTCCTTTCTTTCTTTTGATGTACCATACCTTGTCTTTTTTTTTTTTGCCAAAACAAGAGTCCATTTTATTAAAACTCAAACAAACAGATACACACGCTAATAGCCACTTAAGGTCCAAAGGAAAAATGCTCAAAAAGTCCTAGGAGTACAACCTACCACACAACTGAACCAAAACAAAAAAACAGCAACAAGAAAACAAAAACAGAAAGAAAACACCGAAATCAAACAGAAAGAACAAGCAAGGGAGCACAAGCCAAGAACAAATCAGCCAATACCACATTTCTCAAAGCTATCACATATTCCTGAAGCAGCAATACTGGTATCTAGGCTTCTACAAGAGGTGCGTTCATTAGCCTTGAATAATTCCCACCTTTCCAGGTCCACGGCCAAAGCCTTCTCCAGGAGGGGTGTTGGTTTATCAACCCACCCATAAGGGTACACTCCCTTTCTACAACTAACAGCAAGACAATCTGCTGCTTCATTACTCTTCCTTGAAACAAGAGTAATTTCTACACCACTCAAATCATTCAAGGCCTCAATTACCTCCTGCATTTCCCATCTACCATTCCAAACAGCATAATCTACTGATTTATTCTTCCAGCACCAAACGATTTATGAGCAATCAATCTCAATTATAGCATGAGACATATTCAACTCTTTGATAATAAGCACAGCTTTCCTAACAGCAAGGACTTCAGACAGAAAAGCCGAGTCTGCCTTAACTCCTTCACCGAATCCCCATAGGAACAAACCATTTTCATTTCTACAGACTAAACCGATAGCAGCCATGTCTGGGGTAAAGGAGCCATCACAATTAATTTTAACCATACCTGCAGTTGGGGGACACCATACTGAACATTGATCTTTTTTCTTCATCTCCTCTTCTCTATCTATCTGCCACCCTTTTGCTCTCCAAAACTCCCTTATTGCTTTATCTGCAGCATTCACGACCTTAATGGGATCAGGTTCTTTGAACTCAAACACTCCACTATTTCTTTCCTTCCATATCAACCAGATAATCCACACCACATAAGCAAGTTAGAAGTCATTCAGCAACACATCATCATATAAAATCTTTTTTATCCAGCGACCAAAACTCTGGAATTTACAACTATCAACCTTCCAGGTTAATGTAGAAGCAAACCATACACACTTTACCCATGGACATAAGAAAAGGGTGTGTTCAAGTGTCTCTATTTCTAATTTACATACTGGGCATAATTCAGATGTTCTGCATTTCCTTCTCACCAAAGCTTCATTCACTGGTACTGCACCTACCAAGCTTCTCCACATGAAATTTTTAATTTTAGGCAGCACCCTCAATTTCCACACTTAGTTCCATATATCATTTGGTAGTGAGAAGGAGCTTCTCGCTCTACCATCAATCACATTTCTTCTTGACCTTGCCTCCACATAACCTTTCTTCACAACATAAAGTCCATTCTTTGTTTTATCCCAAATAAGCTCATCCGTTCTTTGGAAATGATCAGATCCAATACTACAGATTTTTTGTAAGATTTCCACAAAAATCAAAGGTTGCAGATTACTCATATTCCACCTGCCATCTATTATCAAATCAGAAACGATCCACTTTTTTGCTTCTTCCGGGACATTCACTATATCAGCTAACCTTCTCTTCATCTCTAGTATCCATCTATCAAACCACACATTTACCCTTTTCCCATCACCAACTTTCCAGAAAGTATTCTCCTTCAGCAAATTTCTACCATCCAGAATGCTGGACCATAGCCAAGATGCTTTATGGCCTATTTTGGCATTCATAAATGGAGTATTAGGGTAATAAACTCCCTTCAGCACCTTTACCCACATTTCCTCTTCATTGTTCATCAATCTCCAAGCTGTTTTAGCCAATAAAGCATCATTCATTGCTTCAAAGTCCCTGAATCCCATTCCTCCATCCTTCTTAGATCTGGTCATAGAGCTCCATGCCTTCCAATGGATCTTCCTTCCCTCTTTCCCCTCATTCCACCAAAAATTCGCTATCATTCTGTCCAGATCTCTGCAGGTCTGTTTGGGAAACTTGAAGCAATACATAGGATACATAGGCACAGCATTGATTACTGATTTTATAAGTACTTCTCTTCCAGCCTGGCTCAACAATTTACTGCTCACCCTTTGATTTTCCTACCAACTCTATCCTTAATATAAGCAAGGGCCTGATTCTTTGGTTTTTCCCATACATTAGGAATTCCTAAGTACTTGCCCGGCTCTTCTATGTCCTCAATCTTCAAAATATTGCAAACTCTTCTCCTTACTTCTCCAGGAGTATTTTTTGAGAAAACTACTCCAGATTTAGCAAAATTTGCCTGCTGTCCAGATACAGAACAATAATCTTCCAGAATCTGAGCTAACTTCTTACAATAACATTCCTTAGCATCCATGAAGAATAGTACATCATCAGCAAAGAAACTATGTGTCAGCATGGGGCAAGAGTTTGACAGTTTAATACCTCTTAAGAGACCCATCTCCACATTCTTCCTGATCATACTCGACAGAACATCAACAACCAGGATGAAAACATATGGGGAAAGGGGGTCTCCTTGCCTTAAGCCTCTTCCTGGACTGATCTCTGCCACTCTCCTACCAGAAAGACATAGGTTGAGTTTAACTGAAGATATGCATTTCATAACCAGATTAATCCACTTCCTACAAAAACCGAATTTGAGAAGGGTAGCTTCCACAAAATCCCATTCCAGCCCATCATAAGCCTTGCTCATATCCATTTTCAAAGCAAAATCACATCTCACACCATTCCTCCTTCTCCTCAAGAAGTGAAATACCTCATGAGCAATAATTACATTATCATGAATTAATCTGCCTAGGACAAAAGCTCCCTGGTTTCTTGAAATGCAGTTGGATAGAAACGACTTGAGCCTATTTGCCAGCACCTTAGAGATTACCTTATAGACAAAGTTGCATACCAATAGGTCTAAACTGATTCACATCCTCAGGTCTGTCTACTTTTGGAATCAATGTCACATTGGTTTCGTTAATGACAGTAATATCACCTTTTCCTTCAAAGAAGTCCCTGACCATCAACCAAATTTCTTCCTTCACCGTCTCTCAGGAACTCTGATAAAATCTCCCACTAAATCCATCAGGCCCAGGCGCTTTGTACCATACCTTGTCAAATTGCGCTTTTTTCTTTTTTTTTCCTAACTCGAAATCCAATAAGCTCCTAGTCTTACACTTAGTGTCAAATGATATTACTTGGTGATCTTTACCGTGAATCAACTTAATAAGTCCGTTAAATATAATCAATCATTTAAATTAGTAATTAGCAGACAGACATATATACATGTATATAATTTTATAGCTCGCTGGTCAAAAAAAAAATTTTTTATAGCTCATTAGAATCAAAATAGAGAAAAATAAATTTTAGAAAATCTAAATTTTCTTTTGTAAAAATAATGATATAAAATATTGAAGTAGGGCGGTCGATTAATGGTAACATTTGGATCAAAATACTTCTTAGAATGTATGTTTTAAAGCAAGTTCGTTGTAGATCAAATCAAACTACTGTTTCTAATCTTTAATATAAAAACTAGTTAACTATTTGAATAGATTAAAAAATTAGTTAAATTAGTTATTTGTAATAAATAAGTGTTAACTTTTCTAAAATATTATTGTCCATTAAGTGTATTGGCTAAAACTATTATTATTATAAAAACTGCCTTAATAAAAAATAGATAAATATGAAAAAATAAAATAGATTGACTTTTTATCTTCAGGATATGAGCTTTTATATCAAGGACGTAGTATATTTATATCTAGAGAGAGCAGTAGGATTCATGCCATCAATTACATGGAGTTTGCCACAGTTAAAATTCGAAGTGCTCGAGGCAACAAAATCCTAAACAGGATCGCTTCAAAAAAGATGTAATCCAAAGCATTTCCTAAAAACATTTCAGAGCCAGTCATAAAACACGCCTAAATGTGAGATTGATGCGCGTAGCTTCAGCTTTTGCTCGCTTAGGCACAGAATGGAGCCAATCCCGTTGTGTATAACCTCTCATCACCAGAAGTGATCCATGCTTGAGTGTAAATGTATGTTGATCAGCATGATTGTTCTTCTTTAATCGCTTCTTCGAAGGTTCACCGCTTCCATCTACACATCCAAACCAAAATATTATTTTTCCTTCTGGGAACAATTCTGGCTTTGTGTTACACAGACAATGTACTTCATTATCCAGGTATACAAAAACGCAAAATATATATAATCAAACACGACTAAAGTTGAAGGACTGTGTGTCAATATGATAGAGGGACCTTTCAACCCAGAAATATAAAACTGGATTTTAGGGGTCTGTTTGATTCTGTTAGGGTAATGCAATGTGGTTTGAAAATCTCAAACTCAATACTCGATTCGTTTTCATTCAAATGATAATTTATAATATTAAAATAAATAAATGAAATACCATTATGAATTAAAAACAATGTAAATAATCAAATAAGTTTGAAATTTTATTTAAGAAAGTGTGAGCAAAACACAGATGAGGGAACAGATTCTCATAACAGGATCAAGCAAGCCTTAGATCATCCTAATCATTCAGAAGACAGAAATAGAAAAGTACAAAATCAATGTGGAACTGCAATGCTAAATTAAATTCACTAAGACAGAAATACAAACCATTAGATCTTTTACTTGGTTTCCTCTTCAAAATGAACTCACGTTCACATCCAAAAGACAGTGAAGCAATTTCAGGGGCTGGTCCATATAGCTTCTCATCATCAGCATGCCAACCCACATAGTCATTACCGCCTTTGTACCTATTTAAGAGTATGCTATTAAAACTACTCCGGGAAGAGCCTTATGGACCTTCAGAAATAAGGGAGGTATTAAGTGCTGTTAACGAAGCCTACCAAATTTATCAAAATATTAACAGCACTTAGAACAGAAAATTTTCATGAGTCATACTGCACCCAAGATATCTTTCAGTGGCGGGTAATCATCCCAAGAATAAGCATGTGGTTGATATCCACTGTAACTCAATTCCGTCAATCCAGGAGCTGCAACATAACACATGTCTCTAGGCTGCGGCAAATTAAACAACATGAAAAGCAAGAAGTCCCAATGTTAACCAGATGTATGAAGAATAAAACTGTTTAAGGAGATTACGGTTGTTGCATAATACATAATTAAAAGAAATTAGTTTTACGATCAAATAACAGCTTTCTCAGAACTTTGTGTGAGGGCCGTCTGTATCAGTAATTACCCATGTGGGGAAAACCCAAAAGGGTGGTCATATAAATGGTCATGATACCAATAATTTCCTTCTCGCTTGAATAAACAGAATTCAGCTAAATATTCAATTACACTCAACAAATTTTAATGAAAATGATCAATCTTATGACATGAGCTCTGTATCATGCAGTGTCAAGGCAAAGCCAATAGCACATTCTCGGACACTGATAACAACAAAGTACAACAGTGACGCAGAAAGTTTCACAGAAGTTCCAATCGCAACCAAATTTCTTTTTGACAACTCAATATTAATGTAATTGGTTTCACATTGAAAACAACCAAACCCAAACAAGCAATTCAACAACTGCGAGCGGACAGCAGATGTAATGTTCCATAAAATCACTTAGACTGCAAACTTCTTTATCAACCGATGGTGCGCTAATTATTTTTTTAGTACAATAATAAGCAAGCAGTTGCTTATACATAAAATTTCATCTTTGTCGAGGTTATTCAAGGACTGTCACAGGCGTATAGAGAAGCAAATATCTTTATTTCCATAACAAATATTCAGGAAGTTAGGCACTACTTTGTTGTCCATAACAATTATAGTAATAATGGTAACAGTAATATTCATACATGTTATCGGAAAAAATAGTGACATTCACAATAATATCCAAATGCCTTCTGTCAACGAAGTGATCCGTTCAGAAAATACGTGAAGGTTT